TTGGGGTGTAATATGCGGTCCTTACCTGGGCTCGCCTCCTTGTGACTCCAGACCCACAGCAATATGGATGACTCTTGACTGCTCTCTGGAGCAGATGGGCCCAACCAGCAATGCCCAAATCCCATGATTGAACTAAAAAACAGGCCTTGAAGTTCCAAACGGCCTACTCCCCTCTTAATTCATTGTTCATATGTAAATGTTAATGTACATAATATTAATGAATATATAATACCACAATTAATATCTACCAAATTCCCAGTTTATACAAAACTTTCTGATTCTGCCTTATCTTTCAGTTGGTTGCAAACATTTTTGCTGAAATTGTCTATTTTTATTCATGGTTTCTATGCCTTTAGTTCTAGACTATGCTTGTGTACTACTGATATTCAGATTATAAAATAAAATGAAGGGTTTAATATCTAGCCAGGAGTTTGTGTCAGTGATGGTATCACTTTTCAGTATTTTTAAAAAGAAAGTAAGAAAACAAATTTCAATATGTACACATACAAAAACATGAAAAACAGGAAATCACGAAATTTCAGTCTAAGTTATTCTGCTCATCCAGAAGCTTTGCTATTAACTTAATGAAAGATTTGGCATTGAAACACATGAAAGTTGGGAACTTAAATGATAGATGCGTACTAAACCTGCAAGAAAAAAGTAGAGTTGGTCCAAGTGAATTTTTAATGACTTGATAAGTCAAAATTACTGCAATTGATAAACAAATATTTTTTGTTGGCTTTTACTGTGAATAAAGGAATGGAGGCTAGGGAACTCGGGGGAAGTAAATATTTACGTCTTGAAAACAGTTCACATTAGAGAAGAGGAAGTGCTGAAGATCTTAAAAGACATAATGTGGATAAATCTCTGGGCTCTAATCAAGTGTATCTCAGGATGTTGTGGGAAGTTGGGCAAGAAATTGCCAGGCCCCTAGCATTGATATTTGTATCATTTACAGCCACAGGTCAGGTGATGGAGGATTGAAGGGTGGTTAATATTGTGCCTTTATTTAAGAAAGTTGTAAGGAGAAGCCTGGGAACTATAGATCTGTGAGTCTGACATCAGTGGAGGGTAGATTGTTGGAAAGCATTCTGAGAGATAGGATTTATTTTCATTTGGAGAGGCAAGGACTGATAAGCAAAAGTCAGCATGGCTTTTTGTGTGCAAAATCATGTCTCACAGACTTGATTGAGTTTTTTGGATATGTAACCAAAAAGATTGATGAGGGCAGTGTGTTAGATGTTGTCTGTATGGATTTTGGTGAAGATTTTGACAAGGTTCCACATGGTAGACTAATTAGTAAAATTAGATCACATGGGATCCAGGGAGAGCTTGCCAATTGGATACAAAATTTGCATAACCGTAGGAGACAGGGAGTGATGTTTGGATGGTTGTTTTTTGGACTTGAGGCCAGTGACTATCAATGTTCCACACGGATCAATGCTGGGTCCAATTTTATTTTACATTTATATAAACAATTTGGATGAGAATTTAGGAGGTTTGGTTAGTACGTTTGTGGATGACACCAAAATTTGTGGTGTAGTTGACAGTGAAGAAGGTTATCTAAGATTACAAAAAGATATTGTTTAATTGCGTCAAGGTCCTGAGGAGTGGCAGATAGAGTTTAATTTGGATAAATGCAAGGTATTGCATTTTGGTAAAATAAATGAGGACAGTACTTGTTTAGTTAATGGTAGGGCTCTGGGTCGAATTGTCAAACAGAGAGGCCGAGGGATTCAGGTACATAGTTCTTCAAAAGTCATATCGTAGGTAGACAGGGTGGTTAAGAATCTGTTTAGCATGTTTGCCTTGATTGCTCAGACCACCGATCATTGGAGTTGGGAGGTCATGATGAGGTTGTACAGGACGTAGGTAAGGCCAGTTTTGGAGAACTGTGTACAGTTCTGGTCACCCTAGTATAGGCAGGATATTATTAAATTGGAGAGGATTCAAAAAAGATTTACCAGGATTTTTCAAGGACTGAAGGGTTTGAGTTATCTGAATTGCTTGGCACATTTTTTTACTGGCGCATTGGAGATTGGGGGATGAAAATAGAAACATAGAAAATAGGTGCAGGAGTAGGCCATTTGGCCCTTCAAACCTGCACCACCAATCAATATGATTATGGCTGATCATGCAATCTCAGTATCCCATTCCTGCTTTCTCTCCATACCCCTTGATCCCTTTAGTCGCAAGGGTCACTTCCAGCTCCCCCTTGAACATATCTAAGGAACTGGCCCCCAACAGCTTCCTGTAGGAGAGAATTTCACAGGCTTGCAACTCTCTGAGTGAAGAAATTCTTCCTCATCTCAGTCCTGAATGGCTTATCCCTTATTTTTGACTGTGACCCCTAGTTCTGGACTTCTCCAGCAGTGGGAACATTCTTCCTGCATCTAGCCTTGTCCAATCCCATCAGGGTTTTTATCTGTTTCTATAGGATACCCCCTCATTCTTTTAAATTCCAGTGAGTACAAGCCCAGTCAATCCAGTCTTTCCTCAAATGACCTTGCAGAGATTTATAAAATCATGAGAGGTATAGATAAGGTGAATATCAATGGTCTTTTCCCTAGGGTGGAGCAGTTCAAAACTAGGGGGCATGTTTTTAAGGTGAGAGGAGAAAGATTTACAAGGGACCTGAGGGGCAACCTTTTCACACAGAAGATGGTTCATATGTAGAATGAACTGCCAGAGAAAGAAGCAGATACAGATACATTTACAACATTTCAAAGGCATTTTGACGAAAGGTTTAGAGGGATATGGGTCAAGTGCAAGCAAATGGGAATAGTTCAGTTTTGCAAACTTGGTTGGCATGGACGAATTGGACAGAAGGGTATGTTTCCGTGCTGAATGACTCTATGACTCTCTTAATCACAATGTTATTAATGCAAAGTCAGGGCCTCAATGTTTCCCATACCATACAGCTACTATTTTAATAATGGTAAATTGCTGTGATAGCCATAACATTTAGCCCATTAGTTAGTTTACTCCCTTCATTAAAAAGATATTAAAGGAGAAAAACATGAAAACCTCTTGTTAATACAGTCTGAAAATCACTTAAAATTCTTCAAACCTTAACTAATTGATATGTAAGTTCTGCATGAATAATTAACATGAAAATAGTATTTTGTATTTGTTGTAGCTTTTATAAAAACACCTATTTTGAAATAGGAAGACCAAAATCACAATTTTTAGATGTTTGATTTTCTAACCTTCATCGAAGGTTAATGCTTTCAATCTCCACAGCGTATCATCTCTGTTCATATCTGTTATGATTCCTACTGCAAACCTTTTTGCAACTTTCTTCATCTCTGGCCTCTGTATCTTGCTCAACAGCATTCCTATCTCAATTCTTCTTAAACTTTGACTTGTCCAAAGTACAAAATTCAAATTCTGCCTTGTACTAGGTATTGTTTATCCATTACCTTTATCACCGCTGACTGACATTGGCTTCCTTTCCTGCAGCACATTCAGTTTCAAATCCTCATCCTCAAATTTCCCCATCAACCCACATTTCAACAATTCCTCAGTCTTATATTCTTCAGTACATCCTTTGTATTTCTGATGGTTCTATTGTGTTTCCTCTGTTCTTTCACTCTACTGGTTATAGTAGAGTAGGTTCCTGCAAATTTGTTACAAAGTTACGACTCACACTGACCAAATCCTCAACTTCCACGGCAATCACCCCAACATCCACAAATAAAGCTGTGTTAGGACACTATTTAAACAGGCCACCACTCACTGCAACACACCAGAACTACGCAGGAAAGAGGAGGAGCACCTGTACAAAATTTTCGCTATGAATGGATATCCCCGCAACTTCATCTGCAGGTGCCTACTGAGTAGATGACAAGGGAACATAGTATGCCCCAACACACTGGCCACACTGCCCTACATCAAGAACATATCAGAACTGACAACGAAACTCCAATGGCTTGTAGGAATCATGGTAGCACACAAGCCCACAGCCACACTATGACAAACACTCTCAAGGATTAAAGACCCCATACCCACGACATGCAGAACCAACATAGTTTACAAAATACCGTGCAACAACTGCCACAAACATTACAACGGACAGACAGGAAGGAAACTAGCCATCAGAATACACGAACATCGGCTAGCAGCAAAACGACACAACGTACTTTCCCTCATATCAGTACACTTGGGCAATGAAGGCCATCAGTTTAACTGGGACAATGTAACCATAGTAGCCCAAGCCAAACATAGACACGCACAGGAATTCCTAGAGGCATGGTTCTCAACCCATAATGCAATCAACAAACATATAGAATTAGATCCCATATACAAACCCATACAGAACAGAACCGGAAATGACACAACTCACCAGAACAGACTGGACAGTATAACTTCCAAGTGGAGTAGAGCAACATCACTTCATTGGAGGCCTCACTAATGATGTTACCTGGCATGGTGATGAAACATCTGAACAAAAACCAACCAGCTCAGCGAGCAAGTCAACAACCTCACCCACAACCCGAGCTACAAATCTTTACAAAAACCTACAAGGACAAGTTAAAGGATATATTTTAGGTGTTGTAATATATTCAACAAACTATCTAAAATAGCCTGAGAGTTTAGTCATTGGTGAAAAAATCTCAAGGAAAGGTATTGATATAGTAATTATCAACGGCATAGCTTTATTACTATAACTATCCAAAAGCTTGGACTACTGATCCAGACAATTTTAAACTGGCATTGTAATGTTTAATTGTTCTGTTGTTTGTTGACTATTGATGTTCTTCATTGGTTAACCCTGGTTTGTCCTCAAGCAAATGTAAACAAAACTAGAGAGAGTGTGGGAAGCTAGAGCTTAAGCCTGGTGTAGACATTTTAAAACAGCGTAAATAGGATTCAAATGCAAGTAGAAACTAATGTCATCTCTCTCTGAGATATAAGAAATCTACAGTAAACATTGATGGAAAACTGCAAAAAAATGCATAAATTGTATTTGCTAAACAGTATCTTTGTTTATTTTGTAGGATTGGGATTCAGTATTGCTGGTGGTGTGGGTAACCAGCATATCCCAGGAGATAATAGTATATATGTTACAAAAATAATTGATGGAGGAGCTGCGCAGAGAGATGGCAATTTACAAATTGGGGATCGACTGCTTATGGTAAGGAATCTTGCTTTTTAATGAACGTTATTATATTTTGAGTAAAATAAAACAAAGAACTGCAGATGCTGGAAATCTGAAACAAGAACAAAAATTGGGGAGGTGATGGCCTCGTGGTATTATCGCTGGACTGTTAATCCAGAGATCCAGATAACGTTCTGAGGACCCGGGTTTGAATCCTGCCACAGCAGATGGTGGAATTTGAATATCTGGAATTAAGCTCTAACGATGACCGTGAATCCATTGTCGATTGTTGGAAAAACTTTCCATCTGGTTCACTAATGTCTTTGAGGGAAGGAAACTGCCATCCTTACCTGGCCTGGCCTACATGTGACTTCAGACCTATAGCAATGTGGTTGACTCTGAAATGCCCTCTGGGCAATTAGGGATGGGCAATAAATGCTGCCTAGCCAGCGACGCCCTGATCCCATGCATGAATAAAGAAAAAAAAATTGCTGGAGAAACTCAGCATGTCTGGCAGCATCTGGGTAGAGAAAGCAGAATTAATGTTTCGAGTTCAGGGACCCTTCATCAGAACAGTTCTGAGGAATGGTTGCTGGACTCAAAACATTAACTCTGTTTCTCCAGCAATTTCTGATTTTAGTTTGAGTCTTGTGCACAGTCAGGTAGGATACAATATCCAGGTAGGATACAATAAGTAAGATATAAGAACGCATTTTGCATTTAGTGTTGCAAAACTAACAAGAATTGTAGACCAGTAAAATTTGAATTTTTTTTTCTCCTAAACTAGTTCCTTTCTCTGGTAAAGGTCCAAACTCCTGTTCAGGAGAAAAATGACTTGCATTTACCCAGCTACTTTAACTTCGTCAGAATGTCACAAAACGCTTCACAGTTAATGCAGCAGCCAGGAATCCACAACTCCAATGTGATGCATGATTACAAGACCTACCCTAGTGACCTTGATAGAGATTAATTGGCTTAAGGCGAGACTTTACCATAATTAAATGGCTGGCAGTTCTCTGATCTCAGGAGTACCTGGTAGCAGCAGCCACTGTTAGACTGCACCCAATCCCAGTGGTTATTGTCAATGACACCAATGCATTCTAGGCTGGCAAGGCCAGAAAGGATGGCAAGCTTTTGGAGTTGGTGAGCAGAGCAGAGGGAAAACATGGGTGTGGGAAGAAATTGCAGGACTTCTGGTGGGTGAAATCAGCCCTTAAAAGAGGTACTTACCCTCTTTCCCAGATGCCAGTTTGAGCAATGAAAGTTACTGGGCTCCACACTTGGTGCCGACCTCTTCAGCCCAGGTAAAATCCTACTGGCCTTCATAAGATACGCTTAATTTTCCACTAATTGACCACTTAAGGGTCGTGATTGGCCTAAAGGTGGGTGAGCTGCCTGACTTCTCCCCTGATGTGGGTAAAATGCAGTGAGTGTGGGGTCATGTAGGTGCTGGGAATGATGCCCTGCCATTCCATCCCAAGAGGCCATAAATCCCTGGCTACGTGTTAGATTGTTGATTAATCTGTTGAAGTAGAATCACAGATACTGATGCTACTTCAGAATTTTTTTTCAAACAACGTTGAATTCTTATATTGTTAAACATGAAACTGTGATACTTACTGCCTTGCATGGTATGCAAATTCAGGAAGGAATTTTAATTGGTTTATGTATATCTTCTCATAAAATGCAGCATACCAATCAGTAAATATAATTAAGAAGATGATTCAGTTCCAATTTTGAACCTATCCTTTAAAGGTCAATAACTACAGTTTGGAAGAAATAGCACACGAAGAAGCTGTAGCGGTGCTGAAACACACAGCAGATGTGGTGTATCTTAAGGTTGCAAAACCTACTACTGTTTACATAAATGACCCTTATGGACCTCCTGATATCACGCACTGTAAGTGATGTTTTTTTTACTCCTTTATATCTTAATCTTGAGTTATTGCTTAAGTTTGTTTGGAATTTTATTACTCAGTTTAAATAACTAATTCTGTTACTAACCACGCCGGCAACAAGATAGAGTGTTTTTAATGCAAATTCTGATGCCACACTCTCTGCTCAATAATGCCTCTGGGCTGTCACAAGACCTTCAGAGAGTTCATTTAGCAGTTGATATAATAGCTTTACAGCAAAACAGAAATGCAATTATAAGCACAGCTTGTTCTGAAATAAGGTTGGGGAGACTTCAAACCTGATTTTGACTCTCCACAAGTGAATGGGTTTTGAATGAATTAAAATCTCACTTTCAATGCTGTCTGGTATTTTGGCTTACAGCAAATTAAGCAATTGTAAACAACAAAATGCAAGGCTCTGATGAATTATTAAATGTAATTTAGTAACAGTTGCTTTCTTCTTCTATTGGGCTTCTTGCATTTGCTTGGGGTCACCACAATGCTAGCTGATTATCCTCCTCTGCCGTAGTCACTCCTTCCACTTCAAATCCTATTGTTTTTAAGTCTCTCAGCATCACATCTGTCCATCTGGCCTTAAGCCTTCCAGTTCTGTTTCCTGACATTCCTACCTTCATCACTGACCTCATCACATTTCCTCTCTCTCACTCTCTCAATCTCCACAGCAGATGACCATGCTGTTTCAATCCCTTCTTGGTATTTTCTTTGATGCTTAGAAAATCTATACTGATCCACCGATGTATTCATGTCTGCATTTGTCCTTCCTCATTACATCTTAGCACCTGCGTCTCATGAATGTCCAATCTTTGTTCCTTCTTGTTGCTGCCCACGTTCTGCAGAAGACTGGCCTCATAACTGCCTTGCAGATTCATCCTTTCAGTTCCAATGATGCATCTTGATCACATAATACTCCATAGCATTTTTTCCATTATTCTAACTAAAGCAAAATATTACATAATTTTCATTTCCTTGCTTTTATCTTTTGCCAGCACTAACCCCCAAGTACATGAAACGACTCGCTTTCTCCAAAGTATCCATCTGTAATCCTCACAACTTCACTTTGATGTACTATTCCAACACAGTTTCTTCTCCCATTCTGCCTATAGCTGTAACGTTTATATTCATTACCAATTTCTCTTGCCTTGCTGCCCTTCAAATTTGCTTCCTGGAGACCCAGAATTTGTATTCCGTTTCTCACCATCAAGTCAGTTATTCCACTTCTCTTCCTTGTCAGACGAATATTTAGATTTCCAAGTCCCAGTCCCATGTCCTTTTCTTAGAGCTTTCTTTGAGCTTTGAGCTGGTGTGTGGTGATTGGGGTAAGGACTGGGACTTGGGACTTATACTGATACATGCTAATGTGCTGCACCAGTGACTCGGTTACTTACAATATTAGACCCTTGGATTAAAAAATAATCCAAGTATGTAAGTAAGCAAGTACTGATTTTTTTGGCCTATCTGTGATGATGCAGCCTCTTTAGAAGGGGTATGTCCTGTTTTCTTTTATTACGAAGAAAGGTTGAGACAGAGATGTCAATCAGTTTGTTCAAGTTAATGAAGTAAACAGCTTGTGAGGCTGTGGGTTTTTTTTAAAATGTTGGAACAATAGAGGCAGCCTGAATGGGTGCGGTCAAGCTCCAACAGAACCAAGATTTTTACTTTTAGCTTGCAGCAGTGGCTGGGGTCTTGAAGCTGGGTTTGGAGCTGTAATACATGTATCCCTGCTATTCTGTGAGTTTTTCCTTGATGGACATCTTAGCACCTGGACAGGAGAATTGCATTGAGAAAATCTATTTTACTGAATTTGCCTTTGCTAAGTGTCAGTTTATGGGATATTACTATATTGGAACAGTTACTTTCAGTAGTTAAATAAACCATTGCTCTGTAAAGTTTTCCGGTAGAGTCAAGTTATTCTGATTTCTTCTTCTTTTTGTTCTATTTTAACTATAGATCATGAATAAAGTGTGTTTGGCTTCAAGGCTGGTAGTTTGACCAATCAAATTGCATCTGGAATACAATGTCTAATACTTGCCTTTAAAATAAGAGAAAGTTAGAACCATAGGATCTCTACAGTGTGGAAACAGGCCATTTGGCCCCAGAGTCCACATTGATTCTCTGAAGAGCATCCCACCCAGAGTCACCCGTCTAACCCTCTCCCTGTAGCCCAGCATTTGCCCTGGCTAATCCACTTAATCTACACATCCCTGGACTCTACAGGCAATTTAGCATGGCCAATCCACCTAACCTGCACATCTTTGGACTGTGGGAGGAAACTGAAGCACCCAGAGGAAACCACACAGCCACTCACCCGAGGCTGGAATTGAACCTGGGTCCGTGGCGCTGTGAGGCAGCAGTGCTAACCACTGAGCCACTGTGCCGTCCCAAAGGGTCTAGGCTTTCTTCTTAATATATTTTGAGGGGGTTTGGTCTTACCTATGACAAATTGGTGTCTCTTGTCAGGATCAAAATCTCTAATTCCAGGTTGAGTTTAGGATTATTGGACTCAAAGGCAGTGAGTGGTAAGTGTTGGTGTTTTTTATTTTGGCTGTTGAATTTGATTGGTTTAAGTGGGGATGTGACTTGTGTAATAATGGCTGTTTCAGTCACTAAGAGTTTCTTGGGAACGGAAGAAGTTACTTTCAGAGTTTTACAGAAAGTGAGCAAGGTAAAGCTTTTTTGAATTGGCAGACAAGCTAGAATCAGGGTTGCCTTTGTCCGTGTGAAAAGGGGAGTAATTGCAGCAATTGCTGGACGTTCACGATTGCCTGAAATTCTATCAGAATCATTGGAAGTGGCTAAAATTCAATGGCAAATGAAGCATCTTGAACATGAAGAGGAAATGAAACAGTTGAAAGCAGATGAAAAAGAAAAGGAAAAGAAGGCCCGAGAAGAGGAAAAGGGAGAAAGACTTTTTGAACTGCAGAGGTTGGAACTGAAAACTCAAAGTCTACTTAAAATGGAGGAGGTAGCAGTGAAAGGTATAAAATTATAGTAGTGAATGTTTGTATGCTTAGAGTCATTGTAATGTATATGTATTGTTGTGTACTAATAGTGTAAGACAAAACGTTTTTAAAAATGGTATCATCTTTGTATATTGATTGTTCATTTTTTTATGGGGGAAGTGTGATGATGCTAAGGCTTAAGAGGTGTATTTTGTTCTGGGTTTTTTAAAATGAAGAAAGGTTGAGACAGAGGTGTCAATCAGTCTGCTCAATCTAATAAAGCAAACAGCTTGTGAGATCTTGGGCTTTTTTTAAAGTTGGAAAAATAGAAGCAGCCTGAATGGGTGGGGTCAAGCTCCCGCAGAACCAGGACTTTTAGTTTTTGCTTGCAGCAGTTGCTGGGGCCTTGAAGTTGGCTTTGGAAGCTGCAGTATGTCTTTCCTTGCTACTGTCTCAGCGTTTTCTCTTAATGTTTCTTTCTCTTGGACTGGAGAATTGCATGTGAGAAAATCTATTTTACTGAATTTGCATTTGCTAAGAGTGTATTTATGAGTTGTTACTGTTATTGGAACAGTTGCTGTTTAGTAGTTAAATAATTTATTATTCTGTTAAGTTTTCCAGTAGAGTTAGGTTATTCCAATTTCTTTTTTTTGCTGTGTTTTAACTATAGAGTATGAATAAAGTGTGTCTGGCTTCAAGCCTTTTAGTTTGACCAATCGAATTGCATCTGAACACAATGCCTGGCACTTGCCTTTAAAGTACGAGAAAATTAGGCTCTAGGCTACCTTCTTAATATATTTTGAGGGGGATAGGCCTTGTTCATAGCATATGTATGCAAAAAGATCTGATTTACTTGGAAAATGGAAATGCTTGTTGTGTTATGGTTTTCTCATTTATGACCTGCCAATATAGTTACAAAAGGCTTCAAATCCAGAACACAGAGGCACACATGGCCCCTTGAGAATATGGCTCAGTCAATGCTCAGTAACCTATCAAACCTTTTGGATTCACTTCAGAATGTACACATTTCTTATCAGAGCAACAATTAGCAGTCAAACAACTAGGCATAGCCAACACATTTTTACCTACTCAATTTCCCTATTTCTCTCCTAGCTAACTAAGAGCCATTCCTCTTTGTCCAACTTTCTTTCTGTCTCTTCGGGCTCCAACTCTACCTATCCACTCAGTCCCCCCACCACCCCCTGCACCGTTTCCCCTATCCTGCTCCCCGACCACAACATTAGCATAAATAGAATCTTTTTATAGCTACTACTAGTTCTAAAGAAAGGTCATTACATACAAACCATTAACTCTGCTTTCTCTTCACAGATGCTGCCAGATCTGCTCAGTTTCTCCAGTTTCTGTTTACATTTCAGTCAATCTTGCATTAAGGCAGTGTGCTGCATTAATTTAGCACTCGCACCATATAGGCAGCCATATTCCAAAGATTTAAGGGTGGAATCCTCATTGAAGTCCATAAAGGCAATCAATAGCCAGGGAGTGCTGGCACAGTAGTTAAAGGCAGCCTTTAATACTGGTCCAGGAAATTGGCCACAGTCAATCTATGAGTGCATCCTGAAAAATTAAGGGAAATGGTAGGGATGGTGGGGGGGTTGAGAGGGCCTGCAGCTTTGGGAAGGAGAAACAGGAACCTGTTCATTAGGAGCTATAGGCTAGGGGAAGAATGGTTAACAATTGTGAAGGGATCGACTGTAATTAGTCGGGGTTGTAAGGTAAAACATAGATGGGAACGTGGTCATGAAAGAGAACCAGTTGTCTAGGATCAGGTTTCAAGGGGTTGGATAATGCATGACCATACCTGCCACCCAGCCTCCTCTGGAGTGTCCTTAAAGCGTGTCCTCCTCTGCTCGGTGCCTGCTGTTACTACCATGTCTCCATATGAGGAAGGGCATGTGCAGTATGTGCCAGGTTCCCCATCTCCCTGTCACCTTGCCTTTGGTCTTGAGGACCAATGACCAGTGTGATTGTGTGCAGGTGTATGTGCCTCTCCAGTGGGTTCTGGACTAGACAGCCACCAACCTGTC